CTTCTCATGAAATACTGAATTTGATGCATAATGCTGATAAAACAGAGAGTGATAAAATTACAGTGTTGAACTTCCCAAACCAAGCTTGCAAAGACTGTTTCAGACCATAGAGTGACTTACGTAATCAACATACAAGGCTACTAAACTCCCCCTGAGCAACAAAATTAGGTGGTTGCTCCATATAGACTTCTTCACAATGCAACGGTCGCCGAAAGTGCTCAAAATCTAGTATAAAGTGTATGGATCATGTTGGAATCAATAGATGTGTCAATATTTAACAAGAAAGTCACTGAAAAACTGGCTGGAACATGCTCATATGCCGGAGTATTAGATTTGATGGCTAAAAGTGGTCACAATCTAAGAAATAAAATTATATGGGTAGGGTCGGAATGATGTCACGACCCAACTAGAAAATATAAATTATATAGGATAGTTCGAATTGATGGAACGACCCCCATTGAAAAAGAGAAATAATATGGGTAGGGTCGGAATGATGGCACAACCCTACACAATTTAGATTTGAGGAGTCACCGGAAAGACGAATGGAACTATGCAAATCAAATCTGAGGAGTCACTGAAAAAGACACATGATGCTACGCAACTCAGATATGAGAAAATAGTTTGGAAAAATCCACGGTACTACACAAATTAAATATGAAAAGTAGTCCGGAGAGATGCACGGTGCTACGCAAATCAAATATGCAAAAAAAGGTAGTCATCAGAAGGATGTCACGGTGCTACACAAATTAAGTATGAAAAAGTAGTCACCGGAAAGATGGAACGGTGCTACACAAATACCAACAGATATGGGGTTGACACAAAACAGCCCTAGAAAGTCACCGAAAATTGATGCATGGTGACCTGTCTGACTAAGTTTCTTCCCTTGAACATGGGGTTCATGCATGTATCATTTGTCCTACTTTTATTAACATAATCATTGGCCAGACGGGCGGCATATATTAGTAATAGCCACCCGCCGGCAACGGAAATTCTTTGGTTTTCTACCAAGATCGTAGAGGCTCTGATACCATGTGAGAAATATAGGAAAAGAATATTATTGAATTGTTGTGTTGTTTACATTATTACATTGAGATCCTATTTATAGACACCCTTGAATACAATCCTTTACCAAGTAGGATACTATTTAGTATTCCTATTTCTATTTCTATTACTATTCCTATTCTAATAGGATTGTATAAACCTATTCCTATTCTAATAGGATTGTATAAACATATTCCTATTCTAATAGGATTGTATAAACTTATTCCTATTCTAACACCTACCACTCAAAGGCCCACCTCGCACCCATAGAAGTTGCAATCATGAAACCAAAATGCAAATTGTTATGAAGATAACTGAAGGCAGTCCCTAAGATCCTTAACATCCTAACCTTTTTTGAAGTAAACATGGTCTAACATTGTCCATGAGATACCTCCAGCCGTGTTTTTATTGTTCTCTTCATTTTAAATGTCCAGCAAAAGCAGGTATCATAGTTCAATTTTATATATTAAATTCACTAAATTAATACCGTCCAATTTAAAGGATGAGACTGCAAATCATAAGTCATAAATTAATAATGCAAACTTGATAACTATGCATCTTAGAAATAAAAGTACCTCCGACTTTTTTGGGAGGTTGATGAGTCCAATATCAGCTAGCAACGTTCCAAATTGTATTCTCATGTCTCTGGCACAATAAGACATGTATTAGCAGTTGGGGAAACAATTTGAGGTCTACAAAGGGAGGTAACTGGGAAAAGGAGGCATAATTCTCGCAGCTCAGTGCCTCACTCAGGAAGAGCTAAACGTTGCAAACCTGTATAAATCCAGTTTTCAGAGTTTGTTGCATATCGTCTTTAATGGACCTTTTTGAAGGATCATTATAAGTTTAAAATGCAGATCGGTGCCAATGATTATTATGATAAATGGTAATGGTGAAAGACTGAAACTAGGTGTGGGAGGCTACATAAAATTAAATACAGGTAGGTACTGTATGCTGAATCCATTCTTTAATTTGCAATTTGTTTTTTACCGGTACTTGCTTCATAAATTAAAGAATGGATTCAGGATCAGGTAATGGGCTTACTTTCAAGTACAAAAGATATGGATAATGACAACCATAGTTCCATTAGTTGAATCCATATTCTACAGCCCCAAGGCATAAAACACCACCATCAGTTTTGATTGAATTACAAGAAAACTGAGCTACATAATGCTTCTTTCGAAATTAGTCAGACATTCCAGAGTAGGAAATAGTACCCCAAGGCCCAAGGGCTACAGGATATACTTTCCTGTTAGAGAAGCCTTAACATTGATAATATAACTGTTAAAACTCACTGCATAATGAGGGATGAATCAATAACAAGGGATGTATTTAGTATGACATAAAAATCATACCTTATCATGTACATGACAGAACTGCTCAAGAAATATGAGCTGCAAAACTGCTTTGCTGCTTTGACTCCATTCTGTCAGAAAGAAAATGAACTGCATCAGTAGCATAGCTTAAAGAATGACAATGCATACATTAAATGTTCGGAAATAACCTTTTTTTTATGAGTAAAAAGTGTTGAAATACATTTAAGTATTTTATCAATAGACTGAGTCCTGTTTGGATTGGCTTATTTTAAGTGTTTTAAAACCAAAATAGTTTTTAAGCACTTTTTTAGTATGTGGGTAAATTAAAAAAAGTGCTTATAAGCTAAAATGACAAAAATAAGCCATAAGTTAGGATCTCTAACTTAAAAGTCAATCCAAACAATGAACGACAAGAGAGAAAACACAATATTATCTGATCCACTAGGGCTCTACTAATTCTTATTTGACTAACAATGAACAATGTTGTCACAATTCCACATGGGAAATATGCTCTTTCTACAAAACACAATATTGTTTGGTCTGTTACCGACAAAGCAGAAGCAATATTCTTTGGGAAATCTCTGTGGAGTGGGTAAACATCGAGTAGCCATAGATAGAATGCATTTGTTTAGCCAAATTATTCAGGATTAAAGTTAGGTCATAGTTCACCCTAACCAGCAGTGATCTGTTTCTTATATATGACTGATGGAAATCAGCTTACTAATAATTAACAATTTCATGCGACAAAAAGAACTACTCCTTTGATCATACAGTAGTACCCTTGGTCTGACTCAACACAAATATTGAGCAAAGTTAAAAATTGTGAGTTATTTACTAGTTGGTTATACGTTGACTTCGCAGTTTTTGCGAATAAAAAAAGGAAGAAAGTTGCACTAAGAGAAGTAAATGCGGATCCCCCACAACTTGTGTCATATTAAAGGTTGGTCAAGGAGTGGACACAGGTTTTGAAATTGACAAAACATAGAAGTACAACAAATCTACCAGGGATGGAGGTAGTAATACTTACTATAAATGCTAAGAACCAAGCACTAATCAAAGTATCATGATTAATCATACGTTTTCCATGGCAAAAGCCAATTCACACCTAAGCTTTCAATTAATTCTTCCTTTTTTTGATAATCGAGAATATCTGAGGACATTGGCGCCAAGTTTGAAACTCGGTAGGTAACACACCCCTCTATGCTTCTCAACATAAATACCAGCTCTCTTTTCTGGCAGGGTTCAAGAACCCACACATCAAAAGCTACACTCTCTACCAATAGTCTAAAGTCTGGGAGGAAAGCTTTCAATTTTATTTTATTTTGAGAAAGAAAAGCTTTCAATTTTTGATGCAGGCAAGCTGGTATTTAAGTGGGAAGCATAGAGGAACTAGCCTAATATCAACCCAGATTTGTACCTGTGTCACTACCCTTGGGAATTCTCAGTTGGGCTGTTAAAATGTGATACACAGTCAGTTATTTCATAAGCGGTTGCAAGTTAGTAAATCACTAACCTCCCGCAAAATTTTCTCCCACTTTTTATACGCTACCATCATTAGGAGATGGTCAGACTGCCAGTTACCACTGTCAGAGTCAGTTTCACAGCCAAGCTTATCACTCAAAAGTGCCAGCTTTGCTCTTTCAACATTTTGCCTCTGCATATGCATGCCATAGCATAATTAAATTCCATATGGACATCACCGAAGCTTTTAAGAGATGAAGATACAGACCTCATCTTTTGGATAAACAAATGGAGACTTGTAACTCAGGAAAGCTGAAATAGATAGAATTGGTGACAAACAGCCAAATACTCCACCATATAACAGCATCTACAGTTCCACATTTGAAAAATATAAGATAATAGTGGTCAACAAAGCCCAGAGAACCAGGACAATTGGTGCACCCTGAAATTTTAATTCATATTGAAAATTGCCACTCGTAGAAAATCATATGTTTTGGTAAATTTTCTACATTCTAGTATACAAGAGATCTCTTAGATTATTATTTTTTTAGAAATCCTAAATAAAGTTATTTACCTTTGCAAAAAAAAAAAAAAAAAGTTCATGAATTAGGGTTGTAATAGTGAGAAATATATAAGATGTTAAAGAAAAGGGATAATCACATGACTACCTTCCCCACCAACACATCAACGGGAAGTCTCGCCAAATGATACCCGAGAGGAGTTAACTCTTCATCCCCTTCAACGGCACCAACCTGAACATAAATTGAACTATGAGATTATCACCATAAAGCACAGAACTGTGCAGTTCACCTGGCATTTCATGCGACAAACAATATTGCGATTAAGTACATCTTAACATGGAAACACGGGAATGTATTTTTTATATGCATTAAGAAGAAAGAATATGGACAAAAGAATATTAAGGAAATGAATGAATGCAAGTGCACTGCATGTAACAAACCAAGCTATGCAAGATAGCATACCATCTTGCATGAACATTATCAATGATACCGTAGAAAATGGAACCATCCAAAGACATGACAAATATACACCTCAATACTAATGAAGCATAGTAGAAACTTATATAAAAGTACATGTTGACATATAAGAAACAAAAGCAGATGTCTCAAATTACACAAAACTTTGTAGAGTGAATGGGTCCCGATACCTTACACACCCATCCCATTTTATATGACGGCATGTGATTAGATAAAGCATAAACACGCTAATATTAGCACTTTATTGTATAAATGAGTATCTTCCGAGTGAAGGATTTAAATTTAGTCTTAGATCTTCTCTCAAAAGTATTATATTTCATCAACATTTTTGATAATTTTTTCTTCCTAGGAAAATAACTCAACTTCCATAGCCTGCTGTTGACTTATGATGTCGTTATTATAGCACATGCAGATGTTGATGCTAAGAAACCAAAAGACAGATTCATCTCCATGGAGTATACCTCATACAATAAAGAAATTGCTGACATAATAGCCTCATCCTTTGGAGGTTCAAGAGCCTTGAAAGACACAGTTTGGAAGACAAAAATGAGTTAGAAAATCCATAGAACAAAATACATAAAATTGCATCTGAATAATTTTATTAAAAAAATAAATCACCATAGACAAAAATAGCTTTATGCTTCCAAGTGATAGCAATTTGATTTGTAAGCACAATTCTACTAACGGCATTCGTAGCATCTCCGGGATCTAGCAAGGTCAAACTAAACATCAGTGCGATGTAAGAGAGGATTATCTGAAACAAAGAACAGAAGTACCAGATAGAATAACGAGGAAAACCAACTAATACCCCGTACTTGGTAAGGCCGCATGAGTTTCTCATATCGGTAAGAAGTGTAGAGACAAAAGCAGATTCCTGGCTTTACACGACCAGCTCTGCCTCGACGTTGCCTTGCATTTGCTTGAGATATCCAATCTTCAACCATGCTTGACAATTTCTAAAATCAAGAAGTTTACACAATAGAAAAACATGATTACCGGCGCACCAGACTCTGGAGACAAAGAGCAAAGGGAATTAACATTTCTTCAAACGGAACACATAAAAGCAGAGGTCCCAACAAGTAAATCATGTCTTTTAGAAGTTCAGCAATAAAATCCCATGGTTGGATCCAGAAAAGTCTAACAGGCTGGTTATACATTGCACTTTATTCAAAACTGAACACCCAATTTAGAAAACCAGATGATATACAAGACCCATTATGCCTTAACCTCGTCCTCAAGCAAAAATACATGTTTTCCCTCTGTAATTTCCATGTTATCAAAACCACTTCATCGGCTAACCAGTTTCCAAAGAAATACATCTTTTTGAACTTTTATTTTACCTAACAGAGATGACAACACATGTGTGTGCTGAAACTTCTCTTCTGATGATGCTTCTGGACCTAGTCATAGCCAACTATAGACAAATATTTTTCTATCCAAATCGCAATGCTGAACATATCACACAGACAAATTCTAACTCACATGCAAAAATCCAAATATGATGAGTGCAAACTTAAGATTGAAAAAGCCTCCATGATTACATGCACACATTTTTTATAGCAGTACTGCAAGGCAGCAGCTATTATCTAGATGGAGTTGCCGTAACAGTTGTATTGCGAGTCAGAGCTTGAAAAGTCAATCCTCTGAGATAATCAGCCTTGTCATTTGCTATGAAAGAGAGCAGAAGACGTACCTTCTTCGGATTATAGCGATTTTCTTTGTGTTTTCCACAGTCAACCACATAAACCACATCATCTATGGTTATGCTAGTCTCTGCAATATTTGTAGCTATTATAACCTGGAAGTGGTAAATTACCAAGCAAAAATACAGAACAATAAGTAAATGAATCACTTAAAAGTAGGCAAAAATATGGTGATGACTAAGAAGAGGGTTTTGCACAGACTCCACGTACAACTTTCAATTTGAAGTTGAATACGGCTGAACATGGAGTAAATGATGAGCATGCATATCTAGACAGATACAATAAATTTATGCATTATCTACAATAAGATAAAATAAACAGAGCTTGTTCCATGTTGGACCTTTCCATTCGTCAATATCATACAGGACATAGTTGTAAATGTGTTCTTGTGAATGACTCTTGAGAAGAAAATCGCCAATGCAGCTTTCAGATTCAAAGAAATGTAAGACCCTTCAAGATTTCTTAACATAGTTCTTCATCCTAAGCGACATCAAGAAACGTAGCCTTTTCTCGGCTCCCTATGAAGATAGTACTAGCAACAATAAAAGGATGTCATACACTCATACTGCCACTACTTAACAATGAGGGATGTGAAGCAGAGTAATGTGGCACTTCAGGAGCTGGTCACACAAGCAGATGACAAATGTGTCAATCATATCATTTGAAATTATACATGAATTATGTCAGTAGAAACTAGATAAGGGTTTCGATGCAAATTAAATGGAAGTCGCCAACGAAAGCTGAAAAGTAGTAGTTGCGGGATGAGGCGATAAGGAGTGGAGCAGCAAGTGTTTTGTTGATGACATAGCAGTAAGAACATGGGAGAGCTAGGATGAAGACAGCTTGTTGCTTCATCATACAGGTGTAATTAAAGAATGTGAATCTTGGGTATTAACAATTAGTACAAGATCCAGGGTTTTCCCAGATTGCAAGAGCAATTAGAGCATTAACTTGCATTGGACAATGAGAGGATATGCAGAGAAGGAAGTCTCTTTCTCAGATAAAAGAGTCTATAATACTTCAGAACACTTCTACTTGGTATGTGCAATAGCAAAAGGAGATCCAATTGCTAGTTCTGGTGAAAGGCAATTTGCAAGCGCAAGCATCTGTTCCATTCAAGCAATTTATAGGGGCAAATCATTCTGAAAAATCATCAAAATGAATTCCTGCACAGAAACAACAACTTACCATCTTCCAATATTACTCTTTTTTGGAGGAAGTAAGTACAATTCATTGCTGGCATCAAGAACATGCAAAAAGTTACAAAAGTGAGGAGTTGTCAACTCTGATACAAAAGGAAATTAAGATGCTAAAGAGCTGACAAAACTCAAGAAGTGTTCAATGCTAGTGACAGGAGTTAGTTTACACCAGCTATATAATGATAATAAGCATTTAGCCTTCAGGGAGTAATTACTTGATTTAATTGTGTTCAGACAATGACGCAGATTAATAACACAAGACACTGCACAACCAAGAACCAACACATGAAAGAGAACAGAAAAGCGCAGAGGAGAAAAGAACCCAAATTGAAGAAGATAGCATGCATACAATGTAATCAGATAGCATAAATGTCTCAATGAAAAAACATGTGATTGAATACAAAACATTACCTTACGGATATTTTCTGGAGGTCTAATAAACACTTTTTTCTGATCCTCAGATGCTACAGAAGAATGCAAAGGAAGAATCCATTCAGAAGACTGTCCACTAAACTGGAAGGACACAGACAGTCTATCGAGTAAGGTGTTTATTTCTGCAACCCCCTTCAGCAGAACACAATTCACAAGTCAATCTTCTTTTCTTCTGCAGACATAAAACTTCGAAAGAGAAAATCAAAACGTAAATAAGTGTTAAATCGATGAACTTACCGGTAAAAAAACTAGTATAGCACCCTCAGGGTATGTTTCATCAATGTAGCATACCAGGTCTTCGAGAAGATCATAATCAATAATGTCTTCATTCAATTTCCTCTGAGATAGTGAGAGATGGTTCATCACAGTATTCTTTCAGTAAAGTTTTTAGGATCTTAATTAGCATCACTGAAGAGGTACTTTTAAGAAACAATTACCAGATTTTTTTGAGTTTGTCCACTGTAGTTTTGATAATTACTGGGATCATAATAGGGATTTATGTACTCTTCAGCCAGCAATGATTCATCACCCCATGCAGAGAGGACAAGGTTCTTTTTCCCCCTATGATTGCCAATAGGAGCATTCTGCACTCATACAATTGGAAAGATATAAGAAGCTCTTGAGCTACATAAACAAAAAGTTAACAGACTGAACTTCAAGTCAATAAGGAAGATCTACTTCAACTGTAAGCCAATACCAGAGCAACACTCATCATGGTTTGTCAGGATCTATTCCTTACTAATAATTGATTTTGATTGGAAATTAGTTCAGCTAAAAGTAAAGATTGGTATAAGAGAAGACTTTAGAGCAGTTCCAAAGCAGAAGCTAGAAATTGCCAATGAGAGCATATGTCGCAAAGAAAGAAAATTTCAAATTTCAGTCCATCTAAAATGTCAATTAAGGCAAGTAAACTGAAATACCTTTTCCCTAGTAGATGTTCCATAGCTTACAGAAGCCGGAGAATCAGATGCAAGGCGGTAATTGATACTCTCATAAATATCCTCGAGAAAATAAGTTGAAACAGGATGTGTTCGTCCTTGAGCGGTAATTACAGGGCAGTGACCAAAGTAATGAGAAAACAAATGTGAATCTACTGTCGCAGACCTGATGTGTAAAACAAAACAAAAAATTCATCCATGAGCAGTCATAACTATAAAAAGGACACAGAACAAGATAATGGTTGCAAGATATTGACAAACGAAACCAAACCATACATGAGTATAACTTTCAGTTTTGCCGTACCAAGGGCAGATTGCTTCTGGATGAGACTCTTCAAGACAATGAGCAGAAAATCACCCTGGTTTTAAAAGATGTTAGTGTTTCTTACAACTGGTTTCCAAATATATCCATTAATATACAACAAAGTAGAGGAAGAACCACAGATTAATGGTATATAAGTAGACTACAGCAAAAAGTGCTATTTCCCTCTTCAGTTTGATAGTCCTAGTCATCTAGTGAGTAGTGAGTAGTGAGTAGTGAGCAGATAAAAAGAGGGTCTCATGAAAATGAAAATGAACCATAGCTGATTTCTTCAAGAAGATGAGAACAGTGGCACCAAACTATCATGGACACAAAACATTGGGATTTCAGAATTAAATGAATGTGACAAAAGACAAGAAAGAAAGCCATCCTTTCTGTTACTAGAGTAAAGGGCATATAATGGGGTGTCCAGCAAGAGCATTCAGCACTTGCCATAGCTGCAACAATTTGCAGAATGAGAAGTGTGACATCAAAGCCAGATTTTCAGAAGCAACAATGATTATAAGCATCCTGCTGATGTCTCAAGAATCAGACTGTCGTGGAGTCTAATAAATACTGGAGGCTCAGTCAGGAAGCAGCTTCTTTGTGTGCCTAAATTTGGCAGCAATAGCACCGGTAGTACACCAACCAAATGACGAAAAAATGGAAGGGCTTCTGAAAGAATGTGCAGCAGCAAGAAAACAGTCCTTTTTTCAATCCTCCTAATGCCCAATGAAGTATAAAAGTCATTTGATTACTTCTTTCCAGAATTCATAGTCATGTGCAGTTCTTCCAAATTTGTCAAAATAATAATTCTCATACCTTTTTAATAAGGTAAGTAATGATATCAATGTTGGGGAAATCGTAAATAAAGAAGTAATGAGAGCTAGATCAAAATATGGTTCTCAAAGAAGTCACTCAGTCCTCTATACATACAAGAACCATATCTATGGTTCTTCGTAAAATCATATTACCGTAAGCTCTTATAGTAAGTATGGCTCAGGTTTTCTGTACTTGTCAATTTGGATTCACGGGTGCCAAGAAAGGTAAGCAATTTACTTGGTTTGCAGCAAGAAAGAATAATAACATGTCAGCTCGCGTTTGATGTGCAAAAAATGGGTGACGACATGAACATATCCTCTTGCATTGTCAGGTGGCCAACTCGCCGGTGGTGAGAGATCTTAAGATCGAGATGCTATGGACAATGACCGAGCCCAAAGAAGTAGGCACTAATTAATTGGGCCTTTAGAGATGACAAAGGGCATGATATGTTGCCCCACAAGCACTCATGTGGGTCTTATTAAAAGAAAGAAATATGAGAGCATTTAAAAAGAGAATAGCCTCTCATTTGTTGTCTCTTTTATTCCTCTCTCAATGCACCCACAAGGTTTCAATTTGTAGAAAAATAGGGTGGTTTTTCCGGAGATCATATTCTACTATAGATTCTCCGCCTTTTGGTATATTGTCTGTATACGAGATATTTCCCCATCATAACAAATTATATACATTATCATAAAACAAAAAGGAGCATGATTTAGTATGGACGTAACCAATTATCATGATGGATACTAATTGAGACTGTCACACATTTCACTGATTTATCTTCTTCATTTTCCTCGAGCTTTTAACATGTTTAACCAACCAGATAGCAATGGTCTATATCTAGACGGCCACCATTAGTAGGTACCTAATTTCATAAGAATCAGCATAAGAGAATCTAAACAACATGCTTTCATATTCACATGGTCAATTTTTAATAGCCTGATCTATTTTACAAGCAAGTAGTGGAAATTAAATAAACTTGCTCGCCATAATTCATAAACACATGTCATGCAGTGCACAAAAAACTCACCAGAAGTGACCTCTCATGCACTTCATCAACAATGATATGACTAACACCAGCCAAACTTTTATTTCCCTGCAAAATAACACATTTAATTGCACCAAAAGATATTGGCCAATATTTCGACATTCTTTTATAAAAAAAAATATTTAAAAAAGGTAAAGTGGGCAAAGATTATGTCAAATAAATTCAATATAGTCGGTAAGCATGCAATATAATTAGTAGGAGACTTACTGAAAACATTCTCAAAAGAATGCCAGTTGTACAAAAGAGGAGCTTTGTTCTCTCATTCCTGAAAGAGGGTAAAAAGATTAATAGATGATGTTTTGATGTAATAATCACAACTTCACAAGACAATCACAGAATCATTATCATATTTCAGTATTAATGATGATTATAGTTTTTAAAGCACGAATATAAAATGATACTTATTCTGGGTAGAACCACTGATGGGAGATTCCTATGTCCTTACATGATGACAACGAGACCCATAAAAAGCTAAGTGAAAACAGGTTTGCAATGCTTAAGGAAATCTAAGGGAAAACGACTCAGCAGGAATGATTAGATCGCTGACTAAACAAAAGCAGATCACAGTGGGAGTTGTAATAGTAGTAAAGCATTGATGCACAAAATTGGCTATCCATGTGAACCCAAGTATCATAAAACTCAACATCTAAATCCTTCGAAGTCTCAGATCCAATGAGCAATATCTTATTTGTAATCCTACTCCACCCATGAGTCATGTATGGTAGACCTGTTAAAAACATGTTTAAAGTGATCGAATGAAATGAATAAACCAAGTGAAATGACAGCGCAGAATCCATACATCCAGCCACATAGAGATAACTGACTGGTTTTATTAAGCACTGGTAGCTTCGCCGACACTAAAATGGTAATATATAAATCAATTTCCAGACAAGCAAATTTTGAGTCAACATGACATCCAATTTCATGATTTTGTATCCTTTTTTTTTGGGACAAGTGATAATGTATCCATTTAAAAATGAAGACTTTGGGAAGCCGGAAGCAATACCTTGCACTATCGAGGCGAACTTGGTAACCAACCAAGGACTCACTTGAACCTGGTGAAGATTCACAACGCTCATCAGCAACTCTTTCAGCCACAGAAGTAGCCTAACAAAGAGAAAATGACAATCAGCAAATCTTGTTGTCAGTGAGAGAAAACCTAAAATGTGGGTGTAAAGAGCAAGACAAAAGTATTGCCTAATGACATCTCAACAAAAGTGAAGAGGAAGAGCCTCCAATCTCAGCTAAGCTATTGCAGAAAACCTATATTAGCAAGAAAAAGAAAAAGAAAAAACTATCTGATCGAATTTCTGAACTCCATGCATGTGTTCTTCAAATATGATTGGTTACTTCATATAATATGGTAGGTGATCTGATATACAAGAGTTCAAATAAGCCTTGTCCTTGATGTGATACACTTATTCTAAATTGCAATGCTTCACCGTACTCCAACTAATAACTTTGATCTTCAATGAAATCCAACTAATAACTTTGAGTTTGACCTACAATTCAACTAACGACAAAATTAATCCTTAATTCTTCATCCACGCTAAAACAAGGTTACAGAAAGGTAGGATAGCCTAGAAGCAAGAACCTGCAAGATGCTCTGGAGTTATCTTACAAGGCAGCACAATTCAAGGAAATATTGGTGTGCTTATGTGTATCTTAAAATGGCTGGATGCCAAACCTTCAAAAATATTAGATGGTTCTGAACCCAATAAACGTGTCAAACGGAGAAACAATAATAGTGGAACAAATCCCAATATTCATATACTTAACCAAGATGGACAAGACCTCATATAGTATAAATTTTATCATAGTCCACAGGCGACAATCCGGAATAATGGCACCAAGGAACTTGTTCTACTATTATTGAGCTTAACAGGTGACATCAAGCTACAACGGAGGAACACTAATGCATCAAATATATTTCGAAGTCCGAATACGGCTGCATGCAAAATCTCCAAAAGTATTGGAGGGTTCTGCACACAATAGAAGTGTCAAACGGAGTAACAATAACAATGGCACAAGGCCTCATCAAGAATATGTTTTATCATAGCCAACAGGCAACAACCGAGATAATAGCACAACCAGCTAAAAGCTGCAAAAATATTGGCAGCTCCGCGGAAGTCATAGAAGTTGAGAATTTGCATGGAAAAAATTACATTTTATTTTGAATCAAACAAGCAGACGATTAAAGAACTGAATTCCAGAACCAATGTTTCAGTTAGTGCAGGCAAATGTATGGTAAATGAATGGTAGCACTGACCGCGATTCTCCTTGGTTGTGTGCATATAATGTTACAGTGTCCCCCACGTCCTGATTCAATCATGTCATCCAGTATAAATTGAGGGACCTACAGAAATTAAAATGTAAGATGTCAATGATTCTAGATACAAATGTGAATTTATAAGTTACCCTCCATTGCACATAAAAACCATCTTGGTGCCTTCTTAAATCAATTAGCTTTATTTGGAAATTTTTCTGACATATTCTCTAGCAACTGTTTAGGTGAGTAGGATCTTCTCTACAGCTCACTATCTGAAAATAAGAAGCACTGATTTGCTATTCCCCTTTGAAAAAAGATTGATTTGACAAAACACGTCAAGCTAGGATCATTGCAATAAAACAAGGGAAAGAAAGTTCTTTAAAGAATGGGAAAACAGGACCAAAGCACATAACTAGTAGCACCTAAACAGAATTGAAAACTGCGCCTCAACACAGTATTGAAGTAATTTTGGTACAGAAAAAAGGCAAAATTTAAGAATTCAACACCTGGGTTGTTTTCCCGCAACCTGTTTCCCCACAAATGACCAAAACATCATTCTCCTCTAGTGAATGCAGGATCTCGCCTTTTAAGTCAGCAATAGGAAGGGCAGCCCGTGATTTTAACATTTCCTGCTTGGAGAACATAATTAAATATCTTCAGAAATTGAAGCAGACAAAGAGGTAAGTAACATCAATGATAAAAGTAAAAAAAATAATCAAAATTATGAAGAGAAAAGAGGGAAATAAGGAAAGCCACTATGTAATGACTGCTACGGAAATGCATGATGTAAGGCTGGATAAACTTTAACCACCATTATAGCGTATGCAGACAACCTGAAACCTCAGAATCCCAGCAAACAACTGCCCCAGGTCAGTTGTTAAGTCATGAAAGCTCTACCAAAATAACATGAAAAAGTGAGAAACCAACCTAGGCTTTGCAAAGCTGCAGACAACCTCTACAACAAAAACGAAAAAGAGCCGTTTGTATCAAAACTAAAAAATGTAAAGAAATATAGTAGTTGAAACCCTAGCTTGCAACAGAATTCATATCCCCGCCCCCACCCCAAAAAGAAGAAAGAAAAGGAAGAGTATACATATCACATCCCTCACTGTTACTAAAATGCCGAAAGTGCAACTGCTAGAGCCCTCTGGTTTTTATTATGTCTTCAGGATCTTTCCTACCTTTTGTTCATTGTCATCTTTCAAATTCTTTCATCATTCAAATCTGTGTTATTCATCAGTGATGCCTATCTATGTGAAAGTGTAACAAGCAGCCCAAAGTGAATGACAACTCCATAGTAGATGGCCTACAGCAGCACTAACACAATCACATCCGCAGTGCCACATAATTTTAATAGTATAGAACTAGAAAGGCTCTGACCTGGTACTTCTTCAACTTCTTCCTACCCTCCTGCTCCTTTTTCAGAGAGAAACTTTCTGCTTCTTTACGGGGATTTTTGGCTGCAGAAAACAAAGAGATTAGTCAGCAAAGGAACCATTTACATTCTGAAATAGCAATGAACTCCCAAAAGCCTCCACAAACCTGCAAAAACTAACAGGTATACAAGATCTTGTTAAAGTCAATAACTAAAACTCACTGTTTACCACTTTACCCCTCCCCTAAGGGCAATATGCTGAACCTATAACTAAATAGAAAACATTATCTGTTTGAGGTACTTCCATTTTCACCAGCACGAGACAATTAGTTCGCTTGTTTTGCGATTCTTACCTATGAGTCATATCTTCCCCAAAAGAAGGAAAAATGAAAAACAAGCAACGATAGAAAGGCACAGATTGAACTGCAGTAGACATCAGAATAAATCATTTATTGCCAGCTAAATGAACAGAAAAGAACAAAATGTATATAGACATGATCACCAAATATTAAAGACTTATTATATCAGCAATTCTTTGAAAAGCAGTCTTAATCTAGATCCATGGTTGATGCAAAATCAATAAAATAAAGCAAAAGAGAAATTCAAATTCTACCAATACCAGCTTCATAAGAAATGCCATACATTTTGAGTGTTTTAAGAAAATAAGTAACAATTTCAAATTATTTTCTGATGCAAACCAGAAAAGAATCCATAAGCATACTTCACCTGTAAAATCAACAGGCACCGTCTTATCTTCGGTGGTGTGAGGATGTAAAAACTTTTCTTTGCTAGCATTATTGGAGACATCAGAATGAGTTATGGTTTCTGAACCGCTAGCTTCCAGCAATGAATCCACAAAATAGGCCCTTCGTTCCACTTGATCATCAACAATATCTTTCACAGAATCACCTGTCCCAGAAAAGACCCCCATGCACATGAAAGAGGTGGAGATATCAGACCAGACCTTGCGAATCTAACTGACACAGACTCGGGTTCTTCAGGTTGTTAATGAGGTGTGCAACCACTAAGAGATCAGCCGGATAAAAAAATAACAAAAGAGAACTATGCTGCCTACATCAGTGAAACCATTTAAGGGTTGAAATAAATTTTGGAGGGATTATTCTTTTTACGTAGGATGCTTCAAAATAAATTCCCTCTTTTTCCTTGTTTTCATAGATGTTGTAGCATAAGTTTTACCTCTGGACAAAGATTTTTGAGTGTATTATCTCTCTATGATAACTTTCATCAATCAAAAAAAAACTGTTTATCAATGTAAGGTTTGCAGTAAAAAGATTAGATAAACAATTATGGGCTCTATGGCTACAAGAGACCAATTTGATCAGGGTGAAGTATAAAATTGAGTTACCAAAATGCTTAATGTAATATCAATATTAAACATTTGACTGCACGTGAAGTTAGAAAAATGACCTTCCTCCCACTGCAAAATAAGTGATGCATATGGCTCGGTAATTGGCATGTGAACTGGGAGATCTGGAAACAAGCGATGGAGAGCATACGCTGCAACTCTGTTTTGTGCATCCTGAGCAAATCACAGTTCAAAAAAGAAGAGAACCATGTTTTAGAATCACATCTCAAAACAAAAACCATAGCAAACTAAAAAGAAGTAAGCAAGTGTTTTTACAACAGAACTCTGCAAATTCCAGTTAATTAATAAGATCTCTGGTTCCTGAAACTAAGATCATGGATTTTGTGATTTTCCTTATAAGCTTGAACACTGGTCATTCCAAACTACAATATTAGATTGTATTTTCATCAAAGTTGCAATTACGTGACATCAGATCTAAGTAAGGCCTATAGAAAAAATATATCAAATGCTTTTTACAAGAAAATGACATCACAGTTATAGCAGAGTCCTGTCAACCGTGGGAAAGCAAATAGAGAAGAGAAAACAATAGCTCTATGAACTGCCTCTTACCAGCATTTAATGAACTAGCCATAAAACTTCAAGAGGGGTTACGAAACAGAGGGGGATCCACAAAGGGGTTAAGACTGATGCAAAAACACGTATGGTGAAGTCCAATACATACCTACAATGCTGGAACAGGGATGAAAATGCAGGAAAAAATGAGAAGAGATGGAGGATTGTCCCAGCTTGCATTTGGTGGACAATTTGGAAGGAAAGGAATCAAAGATGTTTTGAAGGAAAACAGAACAATTATCCAGAAGATAAAGACTAATTGCCTAGGGCTTTATTATTTTTGGTGTAAGCAAGTAGTGATAGGAGAAGCTGAAACTGTGTTTAATGTTATTGACTGGTTGTAACTAGAAGATCCTAGGAATGATGTAAGTAAAACTTTTTGGAGGGGGACTACACTTTGATGTAGTATACCTGTGGATATATAGAAGTAATATTTTCTTTCTCAAAAAAAAATAAGTGGGGTTGTCACATTACCCTTCATGTTTCAATAATTTGATATTTTCCTTTTCTTTTAGCAAGTACAGCAATGTTATTCACAAAAATAGCAAAAAGAGAGAGTTCGTATATGTACAGAGAGTACAGACCTTCTTTCTTACAACCATGTTAAGAATTTCTATAATTTCGCATATTTATTCCTCTAAATCGTGACATTTTTCATTTCCAATTGATTTTGCATCCAAAAGACCCATCACAATAAGGCTATGTGAATTACACATGCAAATACACATTTGATTAATGGTATCAACTTCTACTCTCTTCCTTCTTACAGATAGCCTTCACAAGTGTGTTGTGGGGATACTGGTGCATCCTTCTCCTGCCCAAACTACTGGCCCTCTGTAGGTAAATTCACAGTTTCTTAGTGTTCAACAACAGAACGTTTGTTATTTCTCTGCTCACTTCTCAAGTAGGAGATTTTGTTCTTCCAGTCAGTTGAAACTGCAGTTGGACCAGAAACAAACTCTCATCTAGCTCAGGCATTTTAAATCTTCCCAGAAAATAAAAGAAGATATGTGAATTATGGAGGAGAGAAACTAAAGGAAAAAAGAGAGAATTTAGCAGTGGAAAATAAATCAGAAGAATCTGTCTTTACCATAATTTACTTTAATGTTTCAAGACAGTCTCTCACCATATATATCCCTAAGACCTTCTCAATAGTGTCACAAATCTTTTGGGTTACGAGCTAACATCTATTCCAGATAAACCTTCAAAGGTGTCTTAAAAGGCAAAAAGATAATCTGAAACGCGAAGTGTGGCTTTGGGCAGTGTCAAAGTGCAAATTGAACAAGCCTACAGAACAAACTGGAAAAACTCTAGAGAAATCGATCAAATGCTTGAATAGAAAATAGGTCAATAATCAGTCTGATGGCTTGAAAACCAAAGTTTCCAATATTATTTAGTAGTGCCTAGAGGCCCTGACATATCGCGGACTGAACAAAAATTCAGTCCGCTAAACTACAGTGACAAACGGAGCTAGCATATCTATTTTTGTAACCATTGCAACTTCTTGATGCCAATCAATGAACATTATCAAAAAAGAAAAAACTCCAGCGACAAACAATGTATATATAGCTAAACAAATTCAACTGCTATCTTACAAGAAACGAAGGGATAAATGACACACTCCTATTTTGATGTGAATACATGAAATTCTCCCTATTAAGGTATATTTTACACCCACAAACTAAAACGTTGTGTAATGGCCAAATAGTAGAACTGCAACTATCATTAACTTCTCTTTCCTTTTTTTTTATGGACGTACAACAAATGCAATAACAGTATGAACAAAGCATTAGACATACCTCAGCAGTAGAAGAAGCATGATCCTGACTAGGAAGCTCAATTGTTACTAGCCCTCCAGCTTTTCTGCTCTTACCCCTCCCACTGGCTTTGCGCATTATACTAACTGAGTAACTTGTAATATTTCCTTTTCCAGGTATTTTCGCATATTTTGGTGCCTCCCATCCTGATCTTTGACAAAGTTGGTGAAGAAAAGCCTTTGGAATCTTTTGTGGATCTCCCTGCAATTATGCCAACAGTTGTAACACTTTTAGGGAAGGAACAACAACTTAAGAACAAAAAGCAAGAAGACCTCAAGAAGAAAAGGGGTGACACAAATCTAACATGGTTCACATTTTGCATCACATGTTGTTAAGAGGGGGTGGTTTAACTTCACGCTACAGAACAGGTCCATACGGGCTCATCGTGGATTAACCTTCTTACCAGTATCAATTTACCTTAATAAAAATAAAAGTTCTTTTTTTCTAAAACAATAATTTCTGTACCAGCTTGCTCGCACTTGACTATTCCAGGGATACCTGCTACCTCCAACTTACACGAGTACCAGATAACTCAGCACACCAAGGCTTAGGCAGATTGGAAGAAATCACCTAGGTTTTTTTGTCTTGGAATTTGAACCTTGGTCTCCAACAAGGTTTCAACCAACTTCATTAACCGTTAGGCCACACCCTTTGATGCAATAACACTATCGGTTGTTTCAAAACTAATAAAAACAGAGACAAGTTACACCTTATCCTGTCAAAGTAACTACATTGAAAAGGAAAACAATGAAAACATACTTTGTTCACTTTAAGAGGCTACCTTATTTAAGTTAAAACTACTGATCAGGCATCTTTTTCCTATTATATCCTTCTTTATACCAATAGAGGAGCTCCAAATCTTCTTTGTTTTATAGGTAACTAAAGAGGTGCTCTAGATTATAATCTACAGTGAAAAATTTACAACTAACTCATAAGATCAGGTACCAGACTTTTACCTTTTTCCATATACCTTCTAACTTCTCCAAGTTTTTCTGACTGCATAACTCTCTCATCTTTTCTTTCTTCTGCAGTTCTAGTACAGTAGCCAACACATCAGCGGAGGAATCTTCTTCAAATAAGAAATCACCAAGCTCTACGTCTTCTGGTTCTCCTCCTGAAGCCGCCTTGTCACCTAAAGGAACACTTGATGGATTGTCTTCGATGAACTCATTAGAGCTGTTATTGACAGACACTTCGTCCATTCCTATCTCATGTTCATGAATATCGGACGTTCTGAAATTGTGTGAAGTAACATCGTCAACATCAAGTTTTTCTGAGGACATGTCTAACACTGCATGGTCGGAAGCACTTTCGTGTGCAGATTCCAGGATATCATCCGGTAGTCCTATAATAAATGTCAAAAGTTAAACTTGCTAAAGTAATGGAATGAAAGCACAATATCAAAAGTTTTCAACCTAGAGAAGATATCTCCTGCTTGATCTTCCGAATGGTTCGGCTGGCTTGTTCCTGGCCCTTTTTGTCACCGCGCTCTTTTGCATGAATAGCTTCCAGCCTAGCAGTATGAAATTCTTGAACAATGGACTCAACACTACGTTTTTTCCGCGGGACCTGTTGACGAACGAAACATGAATCAAGACCAGTAGCATGCTTTTCATATTCTTTGAGTAACAAGTGTTTTGAGGGATATTGATCTTATATCTACTCTGATAAGACAAAATTCAATTCACTACAACAGGAAAAAGGGGGAAATGCTTTAAGGAACTAACTGTTACAATATCCAGATTCAACTTTACATAAACATGTCATTTTCGCAAGAGAAATAGCCATACAAGCCTTTCAAGAATGTAAACCATATATCTACTCCATCCACCAGCCCAACCTAAAGCCTGAACATACTACTACAATGAACTGGGAAATGGATACCGATAAAAGGAAAGCCTACATCATCAGATAGTCATTACTAAAGAGGCTGTGTGACACAAAGCAAGTGAACTGATGATTTATTAGTGTAGAAACATGGAAAAAGTTGCCATGAGATTTACCTGCTCTAGGGAACCATCGTCAAAAAAATCAGATTCCAAACTTTCAGCTTCATCCTGCAAATGCATAGTAAAAGAAGAATGTATAGACTCAGCGTTGCACACTTTGAATTTCAGTGGCTTTTAGATCTTTAATATTGGGAAACTTTATGATTAAAAAACAGAGAATTTGTTCAGATTGAAATTGGGATTAAAGATAGATTTCGACGAAGTCTAGCTGCCTTAGGTCAGGACTCGTGCCCTAATTCTTCTTTTCTTTTTTTGATGAAATAAGGTGTTTCATTGATGGCATCAAATGGATGAGAAAGTCACAAAGATAAGTAGATGTAGCTCCAATAAATTGTTAAAGTACTCAGCTCAGGGAGCTAACCAAAAACAGCAAAAAGTATATGGATTAAACTAGAGCAAGTGATGATGAAATCTAGGAGGGAGAGCTAAGTTGCTCAGATTCTCCAAAAATGTTGCCGCACCCGTGTCCGATCCTTCAAAAATACACTATTTTTGGAGGATCCGACACACACTCATCGACATTTTTGAAGAGTCCGAGCAGCATTGAGGGAACAGCATCACGTCCTAATTCTTTATCATGAATCTTAGTTATATTTCTCTAAGACAACAGGTAGCTGTGAAACAAAAACAATATGTTAGAAGTGTTAAGCATGCAGTAGCTAACTAGGCATAGCCACTCTCCTGCAGAACCTTTGTCAGTTACCTTTGGTTTCACTGTAGACAGATAATTCACAAAAAGCTGAAATCATACACAGTGCAGTAATTTAGCACCACAGACCCATTGTACCCGCCAGTCGAACTAGAAGTATCAAATAGAACTGTATAAATACCTCTTCCTGTTGTTCCATATACTGGCGGATCCAATCAGCTTGTGCGCGTTCAACTGTACGTAGAGATTCACTATCACTTCGACCCTTCGGCACAACTGAAACTTTAGGTATTTTCTCATCTTTAACTTCTGCCACAGATGAATCTGCTGAAGGAACCCAATCTTGTCGAGCAGTTGATATGATACCAACAGAACCTGCAAAAATGCATATTCATGAACTTAACTTCTTTCTCCTTAACACAAAATTCCTCAATATCGCTGAGTCTGGAAATTAAACAGAACTTTTTTAATCAATACCTTCGTTCAATTGGGAAGTACCACTTGAAAACTTCAGAGGAAGCTCATTTCCTCGCAAATTCAAGCATAGCCAATCTAAAGCAGCTTCAAACGTGGCTCTCTCCTTTGTAATTTTTTTGAAATGGTAAATATTATTAAAAACTATTTCAGAGAGAATGTGTCTGATTATATCTCCAAATAACCAAAAAGGAACACATTCTATGAGTCAAAAACAGTAATCAGGTATATTTCTTGAAATTGCATGAGTCTGTCTTTCTTGAAATTACACCGTTAAATTAATCATTAAATTTTGTGATTGGAAAATGGACGTTTTCTTGATTAGTAGAGTACCTTGAGAGCGGATAAAGCACGTTCAATTTGATCATTGGTAAAGCCCTCGCAAGAAAGCTTTTCGTAGATAGAACTAAGTTTCTTGGCCTTCTGCGCTTTTGAGAGAGCATCCTCTGCTGGAATCGGAGTCGGAGACTGAGTGGAGCGGCCTGAATTAAGCAACAATCGTCGGAGGCGATTCTCATTCTCGGCAGAAATTTGCAATTTGGGACCTGTGGAAGAAGAACCTTTGCCTTTGGATGATTGAGGTTTCTTCTTCGGTGCCATAGAAGAAAATGGGCGGGAGACAGAAGTAAATACAAAGTGAAAGAAGTAACAATGGTGAGAGCACACGCACAGTAGCAGAGAGAAAATTTGTTCGCCAGAGTTCAGACGCAGACCGGACCGATGGTTGTGAGCCCAAATAAAAACGGTCGATGCTGTTGGCCTTGCTTGTACGCGGTCATGTTTAGTACCGTGTGCATTTGATTTTTTTTTATTATTATTTTTCACGGTGTTCACCGCTCTCTAACAAAAGCGATTTCGTACTCAAGGAGCTCGAACCTGAGACCTCTTGGTTAAGGATGAAAGAGTATTTATCACTCCATCACAACCCTTGTTGATTGTGCATTTGATTTCATCTGATTTGAAATTTTAATTTTTATGATTTAAAAATTAATGTTTGGACACGAGTTTTTATTTTATGATTTTTTATAAAAAATTAATTTGAGAATTTCATATTATAGTTTTACATTTTTTAAATATAAAAATTAACTCACAAATTTATATTTTATAAAAATAAAAATAAAAACTCATTATTTTATATCTATCAACTACTACTCCACTATTTATTTAATTATTTAATATGTAACAAAATTTATACCAGTTGATATTATACTCTTTATCAATTTCTATTTCCATCACATGATAGTAAATTATACCGTTACCAATTACAAACTTTTGGGAAAAAGTCATCTCTTAAAATAAATATTAATTTGTTTACACGAAATTATCTCATTTCCGTTATGTATTTTTAAAAAAAATTACTTATAAAAAATGTTATTTTTATCGGTAGATAAATATTATGTTTCCAATATTGATTTTCAAACGAGGGACTTTTAGCTCCATACAAAAGATTATGCTATCAGTCTCAGGATTTCAAAGGAAGTGAATGAGATCGTGCTATCTGATCAAATGAACTTTTGAAGCTGCAAAAAATAGATTTAGAGTACTGAAATAGAACATGAACCATTATGTCAATCATTGACACACAAGTGAAATTGTCATATCTCGTGCAATGTTATATAATTTTTGCAAGAATATCAAGAGAATGATGAAATATTCACGGAATATGAACATAATGATATAGTTATTATTGGTATTGACTAACAGACAACTCAAGGTAACAATATTGATTTATTTTTCGTCATCTGATCGAGAAATGCATGTTCAACGCGAGGAGATTGACAGTACTATGTGAGAGAATCTTAATAAAGAGTAGTACACCACAACACATGTTCAATTTTACTTTTTATTGAACTAAAATTCAATTAATAAATGTTGTGTTTTTTCTTGAATTAGCTTTGTGATATTGTATTATATTTTTGCTCATTTGGTAAGATTGTATAAAGAATTTGAGCGATTTTGATAGTTTTCACAACTTGTGAGTTTTTTTTTTTTGTTATGAGCAAGCACTACGACTTAAAAATTCAAATTGCATATCCAAACAAAACTTCAACTTCATTTTATATGATTTCATATCATGATTTTAAGTCCTGATTTTATCTCACATGACCAAACGAGGTCTTAGACGTGGGACTGTATTGTTCTTAACTCACGTACTTTCTAGCTGGCTTAATACGTTAAATTGGCTTTCTTTTTGTATCAAAAAATACTAAATTAGTTACGTCGATTTATTAAATTTATAAATCAAACTGACATACGTTTTTTTTATTTTTTATTTTCGTTGATTTTCTTGATTCTTTTGCTTTTCTCAATTTTTGTACAAATCAAGAAACTACTAACAAATCATAGTCAATTGATATGTATTTTTATCAACAAAAATTTGCATGTTGCTTATGAAGACAAAAGGCTGCAATATGTTAATACGTAACCACCGTAAGAAGAAAATGGATGGAGATATGCTACTTCTTAAAGTACGTACGTAATTCATACCGTTATTATTGCATACTTAAAGTAGTTTAATTTAGCTATACTGATAATATAAAAATATCTTTTAAGTCGTCAATTATTTTTAGTGACACATAATTTAAAAACAAGATAAATAATTAATCACAACATGTTAAAATAAGTACATTTTGTTGGCACTCCCTGTGTATATGTGAGTTAAATACTACTCTTTTCGTTTCCTATTTTACCTGACACTCTTTCTTTTTTAGTCTATCTAAAAAAGAATATCATCTTATTATAATTAGAAACAATTAAACATTAAAATATCCATTTTACCCTTCATGAAAATGATTTTTAACCACATAAATATCTAAAAATTGTTTTAAACCACAAGTTCCAAAAATCTTTCTTTTTTTCTTAAATATCGTATCAAGTCAAATAGTGTCACATTAATAGGACGAAGGGAGTACTAAATAAAAATCTTATTAGTACTATTTAACACTCTGTTTGGATCATTGTTACCCATTGTATTGTATTGTATGGTTACTATACCTACAATGTTTGTTTTGATTGTTACTTAAAATGTATGTATTGTATTGTATTGTTAAATTCCGTTGTTACGTAACAATGAAAACCCCCATTTTATGGAACAACCAATTTGGTGTTTCCATTGTTACTTAATTTCTTTTTTCAATTATATCTTTACATAATATTTCATAATACTATTTTACCCTTTACCTTTAATTATTTAATTATAGTCAAACCTTCTACCTTAGAATAATTAAGGATATTTTAGTAAATTTATAAATTACAATATATACAATACGATACAGTCAAACCAACAAACAATACAGTCTAACCAAACATTGTATCTAGCATACAATACAACACAATAGAGTACAATACAATACAATACATTATGAAACAATGAGTAACAATGATTCAAACAGAGTGTAAGAGTAGTGTTGAGATAGATATATAGGATTCTTCTATTCTTATTAAGAGATCTTTGTTTTGTTGAGCTCTTTATACGAAAAAATCTGTTAGGAAGCATACTTACTTCCTTTAATAGATTTTACATGATGTAAATTTAAATTAATCGAGATTTAATACAGATATCAAACCTCGGGAACAAATAAAAAAAGAAAGATAAAACCTTAATTCATTTGCTTGGTAGTTGAGGAGTCAACTTCTTCCAACTTCAAAATCCCTAAAAAACTTAACCTTCAAACAACAGTATCTCTCTATATCCATATATATGATCTCTAATTCACCAGCTGGCCATTAGACTACTTACATATACACACCACCCCACACTAGCTAGACCAATCTCCATTATCAAAATCTCTTATAACTGAATATATTTGAAGTAAAAGCAAAGAAAACTCATCAAACCTTCCAACCTTATAGCAATCATGATCCAATAATAATAATAATAATAATATTGTCTCACATATCTCTCTCCTTTCCATATCTCTCAATCTCTCAAACAAATTCAAACACCATGGAAATAACACCAAAATCATCAGTCATGGATTATCATTCCAACGTGGATTCTTCACGCCCTTTTCGCTCCGTCAAAGAAGCCGTAGCCATCTTCGGTGAACGATTTCTGGCTAAAGAAATCTATTCTCCAAAGCCTTTCACATTTCCAACTCAAGAAAGTCCATGGAATACAAACAATTATTCTCCTACAAGTGCTAATTCTCAAGAAATTGTTATAAGTGCCACGTCATGGAAATCTGCTTCTTCACCAAGTCCTCAAGATTTGAATGATCCTATTGTTGTGGAAGCACTGAAGAAGCTAGAAACTGAGCTCGAAGAAACAAAGGCAGAATTGAAGCTTATGAAAGCAAGAGAATCTGAAACTGAAATCGCATTAGCTTCTTTAAACGCAGAGCTTCATAAGAACATGTCGAAATTGGCTCATGCTGAAGCAGCTCACGCAGGTTAGAGACAGATCCATAATTTTAATAATTACTTAATAAACATTATTATTATATTTGAAATTTTTATAACTAACAACATACATATATATATTGCGAGTGACGCATGCAGGTGCAATGGCAGCAGCAAAATCAGTGAAAGTCAACAACGAAGATTATGGCTATAAGAAAAAGGAAATGAGATCAGTGAAATGGGAATCATCATCACCAACATTAGCAGAGATGTTAACAATTGGAGAAACAGATCTAGGTTTGCTTGGGAAGAAAAAGGAAAAAAAGAAGACAATGAAGAAGAAGCCTATCATTCCACTTGTTGCAGAGTTGTTCTCAAGGAAAAAAAGAAGTTCTACTAGTGTTGATAATCCACTTTTTGCTTCTTCTCATCTTTTCTGAAATGAAGAGAAATAATAATGAGAAGAACTACACTAATTACTATATATCGTTGCTTGATGTAACTTAATTTTTCTTCGTCTTCTGGATTTTTCGTTGAGATTCAAGCTTGAGGAAACACCATAATCTTTTTAATTCGTGTGTTTGTGTATAGTGATGCTCTTTTTTTGGTTCCTCTCAAAGTTTTATATTTCATCATTTTTCAATATTTCCATGTGTCAATGTTCTAGAAGGAGTACTACTTTGTTATTCCTGTTTTATATGTGTATGAGCTAATTTGAATTTTATGTTTTGGGTAAAATATTTATACAGTTAAATTACTCGAAGGTAATGTGCGCATGCACACAACATGGAGTAATATATTACTGAAAATACTTATACTGTATATATATAATATACTATATAACCTGAAATCATAAAATTTTGAAGGGAAATTCGAGAAAAATGATTTCATTATTAGTTTTGTTTTTCCGATCAAGAGTACAACAAAGTGTGGAAAGAAATTATGGTAGAATGTAAATTATCCTAGCTAAAATTAAGAAGAACCTAATTCTTCATTTTTAATGGAAAATTGCATAAGTCATTGTAGAGGTAAAAAGAAAATTTTTAATTAGAAGGAGAACTATTACAAAAGTAGGGGGCATCAAAGTATTTTTCGTTTTCTTTTTTAGTGATGGTACAACTGCGATTTTATATAAAAAAATTCCGGTAGAAAAGACAAATCCAAACATGCTCCAAAACCTAATATTTTCTCCGTCTACTTATAATTGTTATATTTTCCTTTTTTTTAGAGTTAAACTTATAAGAATTTTGATCAACATTTTACGATGTACTCCCTCTGTCCATTATTGTTTGTCAGGATAAGATCATGCACAACCCTTGAAAAAAATTTAATATAAGGTGCAATTTGACTAATATAACCCTACTATCAATCATTATTAAAATGATTTGTACTTTTTGACAACTATAAAAGCAATTTTTTTCACATTAAAATAGTCTTGTAACTTTAAAATTACTACTTTTTGAAACCAGTAGTTAGGTAATTATTAAGGGCAGAATTAGAAAAAAAGTGACTAATTGTTTCTTGAATGACAATTAATTTTGGACAACTAGTTTTAGTATACCTGACAAATAATAGTGGACGGAGGGAGTATTTTTCATCATATTAATATACAAAAAATTACAATTTATTGTATTTTTCGTATAATTTTTGAATAGCTATATAATAAATTAATCAAATTAATTTAACTTTAAAAATTAATTAAATTGACTTCACACGATTAAAAATTTAAAATGGACGGATAGAGTGAGTGGCAAGTATAAAAATGAGACCAGCATGAGTTGTGGTGCACTGGTGAGAGTGTTTCACCCTTAACCAGAGGTCTCGGGTTCGAGCCTTGGGTATGGAGAAAATTTTATTGGGAGCGTCATTCCCAAATGGGCCCTGCAGAGCGCGATCCAAATTTAGTTGGAGCTCTAATGTGGCTCCGAACATCGGGTGAGAAAAAAAAGAGTATAAAAATGAGAGCAAAACAAAAATAGAGATGGACACACAAAAAATAAATTAAATTTTCCGGTCCACAAAATACAAATAGAAAACAAAAAAAAACAAGAAGGGAAGTGAGAGAAAGCAATCAAACTGTTTGTGATTTTCAGAAACAATCATCAAATTTGCAGTTGGTGAATTTGATTTAATTGGATAATTTGATACAAAGAGATGCAATCAGCCATGCTATTGAATCCTCCAACTCCTTCTTCTTCATATGTTTCTAGAAGTTTCCAAACCCTAGATTCTCCATCTTCATCTTCATCTTCATCATGCTCTCCTTCTTCTTCCACCGCCACTCTCTTTCTTCCTCCTCCTCCTCTCAAGGTATATCTTTAGTCTTGCCGTCGAATTTTGTCTTTTTTCATTTGCCTAACCATCTGCCTTTACTCTGCAGATTTCGGGTTTCTTTGGAACTCGAGTTTCCTCTCGGACAAGGCCCAATTCATCACCGCGCTCCCTGCGTAGAGCTTCACAGTATCGAGGTGTGCTTTTTGTTTCCTTTTACCTTCATGAATACAATATCGTTAATTTGTATTTTATATTATAGCTTGTACCGAAAAATATGGGGATTTTTTTCCTTGCTACGTGTTTTAATTGGAAATTTTGCTTAAATCATTTTTATGTTCAGAACCAATATGTTAAAAGATTTTAGCCTTCTGTGGAATTAACTAACTGTTATATTATTGAAATTGATTAGTTTGTAATGAATTTTCAGATAATCACTTACTTGGATGATTGGAAACCACAAGGCCCTAAATTTATCTCTTCTATATTAATATACCGGAAAGGATAACAAAGGTTCTTATTAGCTTAGCCTGTTGGTTTTTAAGATTAGGTCACAATGTTATTGTTCTTTGTTCGATGGAATACATAGAGCTATCGGTAGTAGTTTCAACCTTGCTAATAAATGTTTTGAGATTCTCTGTAGAATCTGAAATGATTTGCTTGTTGGCTCTTGGTGCAGTTGTAAAGGCTGTTGCAACTCCAAATTCAGCAGTAGAGCCAAATTCAGTAGTAGAGTTACCGCTAACTTCAGAAAACATTGAGAGTGTGCTGGATGAAATTCGACCATATCTGATTTCAGATGGAGGAAACGTTGCATTGCATGAAATTGATGGCAATGTTGTAAAGCTAAAACTACAAGGAGCGTGTGGATCCTGTCCAAGTTCAGTCACGACAATGAAATTGGGAATTGAACGTCGTTTGATGGAAAAGATACCAGAGATTGTTGCGGTTGAAGCAGTACCAGATGAAGAAACTGGCCTTGAGCTTAATGAAGAAAACATAGAGAAGGTAGCTTCTTCTCTCCGTTATTTATATGTCTTACATACAACTGACACAATCCTTTCGAAACTGCAAAGCTGAATTATATGATCTTCAACACATCTTGGACTAATTAAGTCAGTCCTAGATTACTTTGTCGTCATGCAAATTGATAATGGATTATGTAGTTATAGATTATTTTGAATGATTTCTCAACGTATAAATCCATTGATCTAGGACCTTCTAGTTTGTGGCACTAAGAAACGGAAAGTCTCAGAGTTGTTTCAAGAACAAGACCATTCTAATTATGTTTTGGTCCCCCCCTACCTTATATCTGTTGGGTAATGTGATGAAATATTAGAAGTGATTCCGTGTTTGTTACTATGATTAATTGGAAGTATTATGACCTGTTGCCCCAGATCCAACTATTGATGGTTCTTCTAAACCAGTAAAGTTGTCATGTATAAACTTAGTTCATAAGAAGAACATGCCATTTTTACCTTCAAAGTTGGCTGAACCAGCTATGCTCCCTTTCTGGATAGGCAGACCACATACTTGAGTCTGTTGCAATAGTGCCAAGAGCTGACCTTACTACTCCATGGGGAGTTGTCTGCTGCATTAGATTGATTGTGTTCCTTCAGTGTTCTCAAGATTCGCTACAGAAGCCTCCACACCGGAGTGGAGCTTCCCTTTTTCCTCTATTAGAGAATCTGTAAACTTGCAACACTTGTCGACACTGCCTTCTTGTTATGAGACTCTAACCTCTGCCCTTATGAAATCCAGCATTAAGAAACTCATTGAGTTAGACTGGCTCAGTCATGAATTGGAAGTAGTAGGTTGCACTTCCATTTGAAGCTCATCCTGAATGACCTATGGGAGGAAATTGTGGCATGATTATATTGTTTCTTCTGACTCCAATAAGTAGCTGATTCATTAATTTTGTTTGAGAGCTTGGCATTAGGTGTGATTGAATTGTGCATTTCACATGATTTTCATAAGATATATTTGGATTATGGAGTTGCTCCAGGGCTTTGATCTAGTGGTAAGAGAGTAGCACATAATGTGTGGGTTAGGCGCACGTCGCGGATGGCCCTCACCACAGACTAAAGCTTGGTATTAAGTGGAGAAAGGTAGAGGACTGCGGGCCAATTATTAACTGAGTTCCGAACTTTGTGCCGCTGGCCCTCAGAGATCTTTTGATTAGCAGTAAAAGAGGTTTAAAATGATGGAGTTGGAATGACAGAATTTTTGAAGGTCATAGGAGAAATTTACATAGCGTAAATAAAGATGTCTTATTTTACTAGCCTTTTGGTGCAACTTAGTTATTGCACATGATTTTTTATTTTTTTTATTTTTTTTTATGACCGAGAAATCCGTTTGTGACCCGCCCTTTGGACAAATCACAGCTTTCTAAACTCGGTGGATAATGGGCCCG